CGTTTTCTCACATTCATGAAGAATTCAAGATTTTGAAATGCTATTCCCCTCTCTCGCACGCCTAGTTTATTTCTTCATTTTCATTTTCATATTTCATTGTTCATATTCACCTCTAGTGTCCTGATTAACACCACTAGGATATATCTGGCGATTCTCAGGCAAAAAAAGGAGATGATATGCCGGAGAGGAACGCTATATTACCACAATGGTGGGAAGATGGAAGATATATATTTTTCAGTATTTCTTTTTTCTTTTCTTTCTTTCTTTTAATTTTTCTTTCATTCTTTTTTTTTTTTTTTTTGAAACCTGCCCCCTCTTTCAAAGTGAATTATGTGGCTCCAGCATGGAATTTCTCGACTGACTCGGAAGCGGAGAGAAATTTTGCAATGCGAATGAGTTTTCTTCATGTTTCTGAGCTAGTTTCCAAGCCAGTTTCCCGATCTGCATCGGCTCCGTGCGGGGATAAAAATAGCTCCACGCCCTGAAACCGACCAAAAAATGTACCACCATGGGAAAAAGGAGGGAAATTCACTAATATACCATTTTACCGGAAAGATGGACATGTACATGTTCGTGATATCTCTCGGGATCTTTTCGCCTCCGGTCTGGTCTGGGTGTTGACCCTTGCGATATCGGACAAGGACGAATGATGGAAATTTAAAAGCTCCATGTTGGAGGGAGGAGGATCGGGATGGGGGTAATACGAAATAGAAAATATCCTTCTGCTGCGCGACTGCAATGAGATCATCTTCTTCCTCGGTTCCCCGTCTGGTTGGCAAGTGACTACGTATTTTTGGAAACTGGGAGCGATTGAGAGGGGGGGAAGTTGTGCTGGAGACCATAAACCAGCTTTTCCTCTTTTTTTTTCGAGAACGATCCTTGATGCAGGTTAGTTAGAAGTAGTCTGACAGGGTTGTAAGCTGGATATTTGATGTTCCTCCAACACTTCTTGGAGAAAGCTGTAGCGTATTGTTTGTAGGAAAGGACGTTTGGTTTTCTTCTTTCTTTCTTTTTCTTTTCTCTTTTTCAAGGGACAATTGGCTTGAGATCCCCGTGGTATTATAAGATAACCTGCTGGCTCTGTTCCTGATATCAGATTTTTTTTTTTTTTTTTTTTTTTCACAGCGCAACAGTCTTTCGACCCCGGGAAAGAAAGCGCCGGAAATTGTTGCATTGCAAAAAGTGAAGGTCGCAGGGGTAAAATGGGTGTCAAACCTCGTTCATCCTGGTCTACCCCCCCTGCAACACAAAACTAGCCAAAACAGGTCGGGTATGAACGGAGCAGTTTGATATGTGATTTCGCTCTTGTGCTGCATACGTACTTGGTACCTGGTTGTTCATAAAACCGTTATTCGCGCTGTATGCAGTAGCTCAGGTGCAGAATACACATGCTTGGATGACCGCACAGTGTCTAGCAGGAGAATTTGGCTGTGTCTGAACATTGCTCCCTCGTCCTCTCCGTCCCCAATAACGAATGGCAAGACTGAAGTTGATGGTCGTACCCAGGTCGCCCCCGCCATCAATACGTTCTCAACGCTCACGGCGTCCCTCTCATTCTGAGTCAGTCATCATCAGTACCAGTCCAGAATCTGCATACTGTTTGAGCAAAAAGACCAATAAGGGTTTCTTCCTCCTCTTTTTTTCCCCTCCCCTCCCCTCCCCTCCCTTTCTGTGGTTCTCGGTTGGTGGCGGCTTGGCCTGGTTTCCCATTTGGTCGCTCTCATTCCAAAAATGCACGCCGCGGATTGTTAGGATGATTTCCACGCGAACGATTGTTGCATATCGAGCTAAGGCCCGCATTTATGTACACTCATGTATGTACCTCGTTAGTTAGGTCCATGTGGGCAGATAGCTATTCCAGTAAATTGATAAATAAGTTGTTAATAGGCTGTCAAGCTGGGAGCAACAGCACCGAGGCAGCTTACGTTGCTGTCGTCAACCAAAATAAAAAGGAAGATAAGAAAAATAAAAATAAAACAGCAGATCCTGTTGACATAGGTATTTTACAGTAAAAGATGTAGTGGAAAAAATGGATTGTTTGATAAAGTATCAAGAAGAAAGTTAAAAGATAAAATAAAAAAAAAGTTATTCCAAAAATCCAAAAAGAAAGAAAAGAAAGAGAAAAAGAAAAAGAAAAAAACACACAGACTGTGGTCCAAAACGGCAAAGACCGGGCCCCGAGATCCAGCACCACTTCAAACCCTCAAACCTCCAAAGCAACATCTTCACCACGTTGTCCTGTGTCTGCTCGCTGCTCATCCTCGTCTCTCCTTTCTCCCTTCTCCCTTTCCCTTCTCGTTCTTCCTCTCCTCTCCTCCCGCTTGTGTCTCTGTGCCCGAGTGTGTGTATGTGCGTGGTGGACGGGCAATAATTTCTCTCCTGGCTGTCTCCCTGCCAAGAGCAATTTACTCGGGTTGTCTCCCTCGCTCAGCCGGAAATTTCCACCAATTCCTCTCACCACGGCCTCCACCACCGCTCCTCCTCCTCAATCTCTCCGTCAATTCGACTATCAGAGATGGCTGCCATTCACGCGCCCTCCCCGAAACTGGACCGCTATGTCGTTATCCATGTTGCTACCACCTGTGATGAACACGGTGTTTATGTCACCAAGGACTCCGCAGAGGTCATCGAATTGGGCTGGATATTGCTGGATGCTGAAAACTGCAAGGAGGTGAGTCCTGTTGGTTGGTATTCGGGGATAAACCACGAAAGGAAATGAACAGGAGAATCAGTGTTGGGTTTTTGTTTTATCCCTTTGTTTTTTCAAGCTTTTATATCATTACACCTATCCCGGGAACCGGGGATCGCTTAGATGAAGATTGTGCTTGCTGGCTAACCTTCCCCCTTTAAATTAGTTGCATCGCGAGAGTGTCTTGGTGAAGCCCGTAAATACTCCCATTACACCCCTCTGCAGTAAGTGAAGCCCTTGATCTCACCCCGGAGACTCGAGGTCCCTCAACCTGCATTGTTGTGAACACTTGGCTGATGGGGGTTGCTCAGCGAGCTTGACTACCCTTACCTGGGAACATGTTCGCTCAGCTGGAACATTCCGAGACGCCATCAACCAGTTCGATGCCTTCACCCAGGAGCATCTCCTCTCCAAGAACCTCGAGTTCTCCTTCGTCACATTGGATTCTTGGGACATGCGTGTCCAGCTACCTCGTGAAGCCCGGGACAAGGCGGTTGTTCTCCCCCCATACCTCCAGCACTAACGTACCTTTGATCTGCGGACGGAATACCAGCGATGGCAGAA